ATGAGTTTTAAGAAGAAAACCACACACACACAGATATTAAACAGTACACGAAACAATTAAACCAAATTATATATATACACATGCATATATGTATCTACATATGAATCAATAAACTCAACTAATAATTAGACTACTAAATATAACACCTACTTACATACATACACAAATAGATGAGCAAATCTCAGTTTCAGTACTTTTTCTAAGCACAGTTTTTTGCACCAAACATTACTATAATACACGTCCAATAGAATAATTCATCTCTGTACAAAATTGAATTTAATCATGAGAGACAGGACTTGGACTTGGAAATTCTCTACTTTCTCGAAATTATAACTGTCAACAGTGACGAATGCGCGTGCCTGTTTGTTTGATGACAGGAGATACTTCGCCTTGTCCTCGAGGACATATGTACTACTATTTAGCGCTGGGTAATTTCGAATATCTGATTACAAAATCTGCATATACGGATGTTAACCACATGTACGGATAGATTTAAATAAGAACCGGATATCCGGATAACAAAATTGAACTTTTGGAAAAAATTGGGGATCTTAACCGGATAACCGCATAACGAAATATAAAGAATACTAACCGAATAGTAACTACCAATCATATGCACTATGGCATATTCGGATTTTATGAATATCCGGGTATTCGACGATCCAATTAAAAAATCCTATTATCCGGATACACGGGCGTTGAGTGGATATTCGGATATTAAAATGAACGAATATTGAGCGAATATCGAATACCAAAATTAACGAATATCAACCGGATACGAAACGGATATTCGCATAACACGAACATCCGAACTGATATACGGACATCCGAATACACAGGCATCAGCTACCATTCCTGGACATATCTTGATTAGTTTCGAACGGTTTCCAAAGGCCTTTAGAGCAGCTTGACTGTCACTGCGGACAGTCGCACTACCCTTCACCAATTATCTAGTCCCTAAGTACTCGAAGATCTCCGATTTCACGTCAATGGACGCAAAGAAGAATAATATGTATTTTAGTCGCTTTCCAGATGTTCCAGCCAGTTGTGATTTTAATGAGCTTTATAGGAAATCTAGTGACATACTTTCATGCAAAAGTTGCTGTAATTATAAGTTTGACACTTAAGTCTAAAAATAAAGCGAATTATACCGACAACTTGTAAATAATACGTTTTACCCGAAACTCAAGTCGTCCTGCCATAATCCAAAGGATTTGAGTCGGCACATCGTCCTTGATTCTTCCGCTGGTATCGTGGTGCAAACTTTATTTCATTATCTAACTTTCTATCGCGTAATCCAAGTGTGGCAAATTCAACAAAGCATTAAAATCAAAACGCAACAAAATGCTTCTCAGGCTTCCAGGACTTTATTCAGCTATAGGTTTTGTAAGTCGGCGTAGGCGCTGAAAGTCATAACGTCTGAAAAGCTTAGTATAGAGTTCAACTCAAAGAGCTTTTATATGACCCAAAAATCTGAGTATAGTGGCCAAATATAGGCAAGAAAGCGATAGATTTTCAAAATTTAGAGAAAAAAATTTGCCGCTAAACTGAGATTTTTTGATCCTGAAAACTTGTTTTCTCGAGAACACGAATTGNGCTCAACTCAACTAAACCAAAAATACACACACCACACACACACAAGTAAATGCAAAGCAAAATGCCCGTCGATATTGAAAGTTTCGTTATGTATTACTTATGGAATTTTATTGAAGAGCATTTTTACTATATATATTTATTGCATTTATATTTGAATTTATAATTTACAACAATTATAACCACTGATTTCCCTTCAAATTTTCGTTTATCATTTTGTGTTTCCTTAAGTTCATTATAATGTACTATTTACATACGTATTCGTACTTACAAAAGTACAAACATATGTATGCACTTAAGTATATCTATGTATTCAAAATTTTATATGTAAGTAACTCTGTACTAAATATCACAATTGAAATTTCGAATTCGAACAACAAAAACACTTGCTATTTATTCCTGTATGTATATTATTTTTGTGTAATTATTTTTTGTAGTGAATTCGCAAAAGAACGTGAAAAAGTAGAAAATAGACAAGAGTTTCTTAAACTTAGAAGACAACATCAGCTAGAAAGAGAATTGAACGGCTATGTTGAATGGATATGTAAAGCTGGTATAGTATTGCGTTACACCTAACTAACTACATACATAAACACGTATTTAGATAATATAATAATAATAAATTGTTTTGAATTTTCGAATATACCTACATATTTTGAGAGTTTTGACAAGTAAATAAATTAAACACAAAATACACAATTCTACATAAATAACCTTGCTGTATGTTTTTTTTTGAAGCACACACCGCGTTTACAACAAATACAATAACACACACACACACACATCCATTCCCAACTGCCAATCCCAACTTTGATAATATTTATAAATATATAAGTATGTACGTATATTCCAAGTTTAACGTAAAAACTGTTTTTGAGCTTTTTGCTTAACCCCTTTTGAGCTTCCGATTTTATTTTCTTCTTTTTTGTGGCCTTACTAACCTTTTGCTTATCCTTGCAGAGGAAGTAATTTTAGCCGAAGAGCGTACAACTGAGGCAGAAAAAATGCACATAATGGAGGGTGAGTGCTGGAGAATACAATAAAATTAAAAATTTTTCAATTTTAAAGCACAAATATGTACAACTTCTAAATGTCTATAATTGATTGCTTTTTCCTTGCAGCACGAAGAAGAAACGCTGCAAAACGCAAAAAACTGAAAAGTTTAGGCAAATCGAAGTCGACAGACACCGAAGAGGAGGAGGGCGAAGAAGATTATGGGGATGACGGTATGTATCGCATGAAGTTACATACATAGTTGCTGCTCACTCAGCGGCAAGCGCATATTAAAACGCACAACACAATTATCAAATTTAATAAATTGGGCATATGCAAAAATGTTAACTGAATAAATGGAAAATGTGTTGAAAATCCACTAAAATAGCATGTCACATAAGCCATTGTTTGATAACCAAAATAACCGACATAGAAAAAAAACACACACACACACATTAAAAATTGTATTATGTACCTCCAATTCAAGATCAAAGTGCGCATGAGTAGCCAATCTTGTACGCGACTCATGTTGCCAACATAAGCAATGAAACCTATCAGAGTTTGCATTCGGAAGGGACAAAGGTTTTTGTACAACGCCTTAGGCACGTTTCCTGAAGGGACAGACTGACTATAAGTCGCCTCTAAGGGTGGTTACCATAACCCACAGTTTGAAACAAAAATCATTTTAGTAAAGTAAATACATCATGAGGCAAAGGACTGGAAAGGAACATATTCACAGCTCCGACCGGTTTCACTGCGTACAGTGAATCAAACAAGTGTTCACTTATAGATTTTTTTTTAATATTCAATTTTTTTTTTCAAGTTAAATTTTTTTATTACTTTCTTATTAAAATATAGATCATGCTCATAACAAACATAAAACCAAGTCATCAAAATTTCGAACTTTTTAATCTGAATCTCTATAATAGCGCATAAAATTCTAGTATAATAAAATGCCAGTTTCAGAGGGCTAGAAAATTTAATTTTTTGGAAGCATGAACTATATTTTTATAAAAAAACAGAAAAAAATTAAACTTGAAAACCATTGTTTATATAAACAAAAAATCAATATGTGAACACTTTTTTCAGTCACTGTAGGTATGTACTTACTACGTATGCACGTTAACATGTGTTATTAGTACTTGAAATTGTTACAAACACAAAGCGCAACCAAGTCACAAAAAAAAAAATCAATTCATTTCGTTGTAAAACAAAAGATAAAATGTCAATTAATTTATACTTCTGTTGTTGTTCCATCTTAAATTACGAAAATGTATCTTTCTTTTGTTTATCTGTATATTTTTCGTCTTTCTTCTCTTGCGTTATTTTGTTGTTGTTGTTGAAACACCGCCTTATACGCACCTATGTGTAATGGTGTGCGCATACATAACGGCACATGACATATATTTACTGTCGCAACATTTAATAAATGTCAACAGAGGGTGGTGAAAAAGGCGACGAAGGTAAATCTATTGTTTAGTTTTGTTCATTCATTCAGTTTCAAGTCAATATATATGTAAATGTTTCTAATTGTAAAATATTTATTATGTCAAATTCTTAATATGTTTCGAACTACATACATACTTATGTATTTAAAAACAATTTCTTTTCCGATTTGTACAAAAAAAATGCTTTACTTTAAAAACGCCTTAACTGCTATAATCTTTTAACGTTAGCAAAAGGTCCTTTCTAACTTAGATGAAATTATTTTTTTATATATGAACAAGTACATAAATACTAAGAAGGAGTAAAACTAACTGTAGATATCTGGTTTATAGTTCGTCTAGTCAGATTTGAAACCGTTTCGTTTTAATATTTCATAGACTTTTAATTTAATCATTCCAATTTAATAATCAGTCTTATTAATGCATTTCATTAAACCTCCATACTAATACTTAAAGAGCGGTCCATATACAAAGAGTACATACTTCCAATACAAAAAAAAAAAAAATTTAAAACCATAAATACGTGCGCTGTATTCAAATGTACGATGGGTCCTGGACTTACTCAAGTTCCTAAAGCGTTAAACAATTTTTAGACAACTTCTCAGAGTGCAATGTGATGACTCGGTAAAAATGTTTCCGGACAAGTACAAGCTGCACCATAGCTTATCAGTGAATTTATAATTGTTAAAAGTTAATGTAGTTTTCATACCGAAAGCAGGTTGAGGCTCTCATGTTACACCTAGGCCCACAAGCCTCTCCTCTTTCCTATTTAAGACTCTGGAAAGACTTCTAGAGACGAATGCATATAAGAAATGCGACTAACCCAGCAGTTTTACCTAATGTGCAGCATGCTTAAAGCGAGTATATATTTACGGAGACAGGTCTCCACTGAGTTTCGAAAATTGAACGATAACTCGAAATATCGCATGCTATTACCTCTGCTCTGACAGACCTGCGAGTAGATTAGGCACTGGTTGGACTCCTCCACCAATGGCTCACCAGTAGAGTGGTGAGCTCAGAACTTTGAGGGACACAAGGATTGTAGGTCTGTCTGGAAGGGCACTCCGCAGGTTATTGTTCTCTTTCCACTCTACTATAAACAGTAGCGGTGAACAAACTATTGCGGCGCATGAGGGTGGAAGGATATGAGGTTATTGCATAGGCCGATGATGAGGTTCGGTAATCCTTCAGGGGAAATTCTCCAAAACCCTGTGCGATCTAATGGGGACTGCTCTTGCTTTGCTAGTTACTTGGTCAAAAAACTGTGGTCTTGAAAAACTAAAACTAGTTAGTCCTTTTTACCAGACGGTACAAAGTATGGGCCCTTATACCCCCAAAATACGATGATTCAAGCCTGAAATTCAAACGCACTGTCAGGTATCTAGGAATAATTAGTGACAGTAAGCTGCTCTGAAATGACAACATAACGGGACGTATTAAAAAACTACAACAGCCCTCGTCACTTGTAAAATAGCGAATGGTTCACGGGTTTCTCACGTAGGGTAGTAACTGGCCATTGTGTGTCCGATTTTACTCTACGAAGCCTTTGGCTGGTACAAAGGAGGGCATGGCGGTGCATAAGTGGAGCAAAGTGCTCCTTACATATGCATATAATATATCAACACAATCCTTTTGTAAGGACTGGATAAGGTCAAATATGAATGCGTGGAAAATTCGTTTGAACTTTAAACCACACTTTCAGCGACGTTTTTTAATACTTATAAAGTAAGGTATTTTATTCTTTTAAAATTTTGTATTCTGCCGGTTTGAGGGCGATAATTGCTAGAACTTTTCTAGACTTCATCTGCTCCTCTTCAAAGGGCGGTTCACTTAAATAATTCATTCATTCATTAGCTGTCATTTTGAATCCTTTTTATTAGTTAAACAAATACATATTTATGTATGCAATTAGTTAAACCTTATATAATATATAGTTTTTTTTTACCAAATACAAGTAGATTCATGCCCGTTTAACCGATTTTTTAGATTTCTTAAATAGATAGCTTTAGGATCCTCACCGTACATATAGCTAATGAATAGTTCAATCTATTAGACCAGTCAATCTAGTGCCTGACGACGAACTAGTTCCCCGCGGGATAAAACACATACCGTCTTGCTCGGAAGACTATATTGACGAAAATAACGAAAACCCATTTGTTTGCATGATATATGTACATACACCCGTACCACCATACATTAGAGCGTATCACCTTACACGAAAACAAAAAAAGTTCGACGTACATACAGCGCTGAGTCAAAAGTACTTTCGCCAGATAATTAAACATTTTTGACATTTGGGTGGTAGGTTGTGGTGGTAGGAACTGAACGAGTTACTTGAGATCAATAAACTTTGAAAAAAAATCTTCTCGAGACAAGAACATTAGTATATTACACTTTAACCCATATTCGGCCGCTAATCGATTTTTTGGCCATCAT